TATGTTTGGAGGGATCCTGGTTATTTCTTATTCTGCTGGCATCAGCATGCACTTAGGACTCGGGTTTTTAATGCAAATGCATTCCTGTGACTCCGGCACATATGCAACGTGATGTGGAAATCCATTCACCGGGGAATGTCTGCCGCTTCTGCTGGAATCCAAGAAATAATAGAAACCCATTTTTTGTCACGGAATTTTTCCGAATAATTTCCCTGCTGCTGCTCATTAAAATTGAAATTATGTATTTTGTTTTTATCCACCCGCTCTTCAGTTGGTCTGTGTGTTTTGCAGCCCTTTGTCGTTTGTGTTTCGCAGTCGAGCTGGATGGCAAAAAGTTCCAGTCGCCAGCGTGTTAATTTGTGCGTAAACGTTGCACTAACGAAGCGGAAGCTTTTGGCCCCGCGAATAATAGAGGGTTAAGAGGCAAAGGGTTTTTGGGGGCACGGGGTTCTTCTGGGACAGAGCGCGTAATTGAAATGGCATTTAAATGTTTCGGGGGACCTGTGTGACGGCGTTCAGAGTGCATTTTCCATGCGAGGGAATGTCAGGGAAAATTATGGAGGTTGATTGAAGGGGAAACGGGGTCGAAGGTACCAACCGCAAGAGGAGATAGAAAAGCCATTCCTGAGTCAAAGGTCACACGTGGTCTGGAGTCACTTAAACTTGGGAATGCAATAGCGAATAATGAGTTCCCAAAAAGGTAACAAGAAAATGCAGCAAGAGTTAGAGAGAAAAACCAAAGGTTTTATAGTCCGTATATTTATATTTTATACAATTTATTATGTGCTATTTATTCTTATCTTATGTGTATACATTTCAATCTTTTAGATAAAAAAAGGGAATTCTGAATTTATCTTTAGTTCAGCAGTTGCACATACATTTTCATCAATGGCAGAATATCTGAAACCCAAACACCAATATGTTTAAAATAAAATATATTGCACAGTGATATACAACAAATGAAATACAAATTTAGCTAGACTTTCCCCTGGAGTATCAGCATTTCTCGGATAACCGATTAGTTACCGTCAAATTGAATTTCGTAATTGCTAACTCGTGTTGCGTTTAACCTTTGGCTCTCATCTGCAGGCGTCCACCGCAAAACCAATTACAATCCAGTGGGCGAATTGTGTCGAACTTCACTCTCCAATCTTGAGCCAGAAGCCACGTGTGCAGCATGGCGACCCCAGTTTTCCGGAGACCGCAAACTTTTCGACACTGTCCAACAAGACAGGAGAGCGGCAAGAGTCTGCGTGGCAAAGGCTCCATTAGAAAGTTGCCACCACACATATCAATTACACAAGTTTTCGTTAGTCGCCGTCGCCTTGGTTTTTGGTACTGGCAGCATCCTGTAATTGCATTGAAAACGGCAACCGCAGGACCCGAGTTATTGCCAAGCGTCTAAAAGTTGTTCGCCAGGGACTTTCGTGCATCCAAGTTAAATTGAAATTTGCATTTTGCCGGACAGCGGAGTCATAACTTGACTGACAGACACAATACATTTCCGTTTGAAGTCCGGAATCTCTTCATTCCGTTTTCATTTCCTCCAAGACTTCTTTTTTCATACCCTTACAGAAGTCATTATGATTGTAGCATTGATGTAAATTTTTGTTGTGATAAACACTTAAATGTGGCATTAAAATACCCTTTAGCATAAAAACAGCATGAATATGAGTAATATATTATATATTTATACATAATAAGTAGGTAATACGGATAGTTCGTATTTTTTTTGGTAAGAGTATTTTAAGTTCCTATCAGTTGCAAAACTTTTGTGTGGACCCATGTACTCTTTGCTTGGCACTTTGTTGTTTAAGCAGCGACTGCAAATTCCCTTAATATTTTACTCCCTATTGTAAAAATGTTTCTGTTTTTGCATGATTTTGACTTTAGCGAGCAAATATTGTTTTGCTTATACTAATAACATCAGTCACCAGAAAAAAAACTAAGAAATTTTATTTAAAAGTGGAAAAAATTATATTTTTGACATTAAAAAGGAACAAGTAAACTGATTTTGTTTTTGGTTTTTTTTCAGTATTGTCTAGTAACCATTTTTAAGAGAAATGACTAAATGTAATAAAAATGTAAAGGAAAAGTATCATGATTCAGCAAGGTGCATTTATAAGATACTCTTTAAAATTAATAAATAAAGATAATGATATTAATAATAATAAAATATGCATCTATTTTGTGCAGATTATTAAAAAGCAATCGTTTCGTCAGCATTACCTAATTAGAACGCTTCAACTAACTCCCTTTATGGTAATTAGTGCGTAGTGACTAGTTAATAATAGGCTTAGCTAAGTACCTTTCGGATAATGTCGGGTCCTCAATTTAGGTCATACCTCCGCCGTTGAATCTATGTTTGCCCTTTAAGCCGATGACCATTTGCCCTAGGGCGAAAAGCCAGGCAAGGACCTTAAGGATATGACTGTATATGGCCAGCTTCGTCGACGACAGCGAAATGCATTTACGGCGTAATCCAATCCCGGCAATAATGAAATGGTAAGTGCCAGACACAGGAACCCAGGAGCCCAGGAGGTGAGGCACTAAAGTGTACTCCAATGAGGGTTTTACCCAGTGGGAGTTGCATTCGGCGACCGGAAGCAGCCAGCTGGCCAGACAAAGCTTCCTCCGGCCGAATGTTCAACAGACCCTCCACCGAAAGGGCTTTTATTCCTCTCTTTCTGAATCAGGTTTGGTATTTGTAGTGTTTTTTTCTCGCCAATTGGTTCGTCCATGTACACTGAAACACTAAATTAAAATTATTTTAAAGATTACTTATACTTTCAAATTTTAATTCCAGTTGTTGCTCTCATCGTTTCAATTGAACGGAAAAATTAAATGAACTGTTTGCACTCCTCGATTTATAATTTTTTATTTTGGACCACTGAATTTCATCAATACTTGTAGTTTTATTATTAATTAATCAAATTTATAAATTTACAAGAGATGGCGATAGAAAATTTGAATACAACATAAATTTCATTATAATCATTACACAAATTTTATGTGTTGTATTTTAATAACTTTTTCTGCGAAACGATTTCTTTTAAAATAAATTTTCATATGTATTTATTTTCTGCAGTGTTGCCATCGGAGGTTTTTAATAGCTCACGTTTCAGATTGCAAGCCATAGCGGAGTTCCAATCGTTTTGACCGCCAATACCCGTTGTTAACGCTGATGACAATGAGGTTTTTCTCCAGTTTTTCAACCTCTATCTTGGCTCGACTTTTGGAAGTGCTTTTCAGCTGTCCCTGACATTGACTTCTTTGCAGGGATTCAGATGAGTTTACCTGCCAGAAATCGATTCTGGGGAAGCGGGAAAGCAGGCTCCATGTGGCACTGTCAAAGAGTTTCTTACAAACCGCAATTGCCGCAGTTGTAATTCAATTGCACTTCAGGAAACCGCAGGAGTGTGATGGGAAGGCACTTGAAGCGCACAAACTAATCAACTAATTAAAACCAAATTTCAGCACGAAGCAATTCGCCACATTTCCCCACATAAATCAAACGCCATCTACTGTAAATGGCGCAACTCCAGGGCTAAAAGTAACGAAATAAATCCCAGTTTCAGAGTAAGGGCTCCAACGGCAGGAAGAAACTGTGCTTTCAGAAGTCAAGAGTAATAATGATACAGATGCGAAGAAGGAAAGTAAAATAAACCAAACCAAACAGCGAAAATTTTCACAAATTTGCACTCGAAAAAGTTGCTAAGCTGCCGTTCCTTTTTCTCCATCTCTTGGCTTACGCAAATCCCCCAACAAGCAGCTCAAAGCTCAAACGTTCTTGCCATTTATTTATTTTTTCCTTTCAATGAATTGCTTTCCCATATTTGAGTTAGCATTTTCACTCCTCACCTCAGCTTTCGCCTGCATTTCGAAGGTGAGCGAGGAGATGTTTCAGAAACCATTCCGACCCAACTCTTTATGCTGGCGCGCTGAAACGCATAAATCAATGGGGGAAAAGCGAGCCGGGAAAGTGGCAGAAAGCCAAGTTCCTAAACTTGATTTAATGCCGGTGCAGCAAGCAGAATACAATATATTGGCAGGTTGTTCTCCAAAGTGCGCTGGCTTAAAAGCTCTTAACTCGACTTGAGTTCAATCCTATCCAAATAAATCAACAACAGCAGCGGAACGAAAAAATACCTCCGAGGCTCACAAAGAGTCTTAGATTTGTTCTCTGGCAAATGAAAGGTGGTGAACAAAGTTGTCAAGTTTTATTACCTTGCAACGTTAAACGTAAAAAATGTTCGAAAGGGAATGCATCTGAGTCAAAGGATCACCTGATTGGCGAATAAATGAATTCAGTAGGACTTCTTTTGCTTTTTCTTTCATCATCCTTAATGAAATATAAAATTTTAAATCTAAAATAAATGTTTCTCTTATGTAATCATGCTCATGCTTATCTCTTATTTCGAGAGTGTGAGGTATCTGTATACCTTATATATATTATTTTAGGATATAATACTTAGCTCTTACTAGGATATAACAATTTCAACAGCAGTCCTTGAAGACCCCAAATCTATTCAAGGCTCGGCAAACGAGTATACGCAATCTTTAAAAATTCGGAGACATTTCTGTGGTTCCCCTGTTATTCCAACTGTCATAGAAAAACACACGTTTTTATACAAACATTGCTTTATTTACATTTTTTCAAGCCCATTTACGCAATTTAATTTATTTTCTTAGTCTAACTAAATATTATTCAGCTCATTCCATGAGATACTGTTCGATAAACAAACATATTTATTTATTTATATAAGCCCCACAATGGACTCAATCTTAAAATAAAACCATTTAAAATATTTATTGTTTTTTTTTTTTTAAATAGTTTTGAAAAATGCACATATATACAACGAATCATGAGTAAAAACGTATCTGATATTATTTAAATTGTTTTTTTTATATTTGAAAGTTTACGACTTTTTCGGCAGACATACTTTGGTCAGACTTGGCTGCTTATTTTCACAAATCCATTTTATCTTACCCATCTTATTCTTAATTGATGAAACTACTGTAAGACAACTATAAAATGTTCACTGTATACATATTAATTTTCATATTATTGTATAATTTATTTATTAAGTCTAGGGTCAAGGCCCCAAATGTAACTTATGAGAGAAGAGTTATCGGCAGTAAAATATTCAAATACATGTATGCGGAAAATTGTATTAAATTTTATTATTATTTTTTTTTATTATCTATGTATGTTGTCATAAATTAAACGAATTACTATTTACTTACCGGAAAGGAGTAAGGCCCTTAAAATGAATATTGTTTCAACGTTTACATATTGCCAATATATCGTTGTGTGGTAGTTTAAATTCAATAAATCTTAAAATCTTAAATGTCTTATTTTAAATACTTAATACCTATTATTAATACTTAATACTTAATCTCAAATGCTTTTTTATTATATTCATCGCGAAGGCTTACTAACTGTTTGGTAGAAAAGATAATACAAAGATCACCTTAATATACTCCAAACTATAATAATTTTAGAAGAATTTCAATTAGTTATTTTAGGAGTTCCTAGCTTAAAGGGGGTTACAAATCGGTTTGCTGCACTGCACCAGATCCCCTTCTCGCTGTTGTGCAATAAGCCTCCTGCTGTTCGCTCAAACAAATAATCAAATTTTCCGGCGGAGCTGTCGTTTTGCCATTAGAATTGCAGGATTTCTGGGTGGCCGTGGTTCCAGTTTTTTCCGCCGTCGTTGTTGAAGATGTGGTGGTCGATGAATTGTTGTTGCCAACATTCAATGGCAGCAGGGGTGGCATCTGCGGATTGGTGGTCAACAGGCGTTTGGAGCCACCCCGTTTTTTGCTTCCCTGCTTGGTGAAAACACTGGGTTCCACCTGCAACTGGGCGTTGATCTCCTGCTTGTTCATACAGGTGAAGGCCTTGAAGAAGCTCTTCCGGAAGTTCTCACTCAGGAAGGCATAGAGTATGGGATTCACCGCGGAATTGGAGTAAACTAGGGCTCCCAAAAGCAGAAAGATGAGTATCTCCAGACGGGAGAGATCCCTTTGAGCGGGATTCGAGTGGATTAGGGCCACCTTAGGGAGACAAATACTATGCACAAATTACAGTTGAATTAATGGAATCTATTTACCTGAGAAATCCAGTGTGGGAGCCAACAAAAAATGTATACACTAATCACCTGTGGATTGAGGAAATAGAAAATATAATTATAAAATTTAAAGTATTTTATAATGACTACCGTGAGAACCAGTCTTGTGACTTTCCGATGAGCTCGCCTTTTCTCTTTGGATTTGGTTCCCTGTTTGGGCCCCACAGATTGCAGTTTCCGGATGACCAGATAGTAAAAGCTGAGGATAAAGCACAGTGGTGTTGCGAATCCCAGGAAAAAGGTGTAGAGTATGAAGGTGGTGCCCGAGTGCTTCTTATACGCGTCTGGCCACATTATGTTGCATGAGTAGTTGACTCCATCCTCCTGCTCCACAGTACTGGCATATAGAATAACCGGCAGCATAAGAACCGCCGAAGTTGTCCAGGCAATCGCAGACACTATTTTGGCTATATGCAAAGTTCGATATCGGGGCGAGGAAATCGGGTGGCACACGGCGATATATCTATCCGCCGACATGATGAGCAGGAAAATCGATGAGGTGAAGGAGGTGATCGAGGTGCTCACCATATAAGCCTTGCACATGAACTCCCCGAATCGCCAGCTGCAGATTCTCATCGTATAAAGCAGAAAGGGTATCCCAATTAGGAAACACTCATCGGCCACCGCTAGATTCAGAATGTATATATTCGTAACCGTTTGCATTTTGGAAAAGCGCAGCACCACATAGATCACCAAAGTGTTGCCGAATAGTCCGATAATGCAGACGAATCCATAGAGCACCACAGTGAACAAATCCGCAAAGGAATTCCGGGTGGCTATGCAATGCTGATAGGTGGGCAGTTCGGTGCCATAAACAGGCTCCTCTGGCTGAACTGTGGAACTGCTGCTAATCCATATATGATTCAGTTCTGTGGTAGATAAGCTCTCGTTTGCATTATACCAATTTGTGGTATTCACGTAGGAGTCGGGGGCTATATCCCCGCTGACAAACTGCAGGACGCCCATCATCAGCCAGGCCAACATGTTTGCACTTCCGCGCAACCTGGTCGAAATTAAATTATTTTAATCAGTTTTCCGCTGCCGATTTTCCTCTCCTCCCGTTATGGTTTCGCATGTTGGCGGTTCTGCAAAGCAAATTTCATTATTACACAAAATAATTTCATCGGTGTTTGTTTGTTTGCTTAATTATTCCAAATATTAAAATTGCAACTTGCATATTTCACGGGAACAAATTGATTCGCTACTAATTGAAATGTTTTTGACTAGCGCAAACATTTTTACTTAAATTGGTCAATCAAATAGTGGTAAAGCTTATTTAGTCAATTAGATTTTACATGCTGCACGTGGAAATGTCATCTTCAAACTGCTGTGCATTAAATTGAATTTTTATCTCATCAATTTTAGTTCAGTTGTTATATTGTAAATTTTTTTTGGGAATACGTTCGTTTGATTAATCTTCATTCAGAGAAAAAATTTAGTATACTAAAAATTGTGCATGGTAAATAAAAAGGTTACTTGCATCTTATTCATCCTCAAAGCGTTGGAGAGTTAACATTACATTTGAATTTAGTAGGCGGAGAAAGTAAAGATTTAAACTTAAACTTAATTGCGCACAATTTGTCTATACAAACAATCAAGGATGACTTCTGCCCTTCGTAATTTTCTGCAAATAAATTAAGATGGACAGCACTTATGCAAATATCAGGTAAAAGCATTGCCTCCTTAAAATGCGGAAAATTCCGAACATTACAGTTCAGCATTTGATCCTTATGATCCGCAAGGGGATGTATTTAGTGCTATAGACGTTTAAGCTGCTTAGTTTAAGTGCGCTTTCCACATCAAATATTGTTGACTTAGCCCAAGCACATGTAAGGATTAAAGCCAAAATTAACTTTGAACGAAATGTCTTTGTCCTTCTTAAGCTAAATTAAAATCGTTTTGCATATAAGTCAGTTAATACCAATGCCATAAATCAAAATTTGGCCTAAGCTTTGCTGGAACGTCCTTTGAAAACTAATCTCGCAGAGAGTGACCAAGAATAATATATTGCAAAGCCTTAATATTCAAAATGTTAGGACCCTCCATCTGCAGCATTGGGTAAACTTTCATGTAAAATAAAACTTAAAGCAGTTGAAGTTTAATATTCAGCTAATTTAATAATGTACGTTGATTGGCCTCAAATTTAATTTATTCGGTCTCGCTCTTTAAATTAAGTTTAATCAATTTTCGATAGCATGCGCCATAAAATATGCAAGGCAATCAACAACATTTTCACAGCTTTCTTATTACCCCAATAATCATAATCATTGTTTCAATCATTTTAATAATTAAGCTATGTAATTTCAGTTAATTGCCGGTGTTCGGGTTTCGCAGAACTTGGTTTTCCCAGCATGTTAATTTCTTTAATATGTGAGGGCCACAAATTGTTGCTATGAGCAATTAAAATAGTTCATTGGGATGGAATGGTTTCGGGGTGCTGTTTCCAGGTGAAAAGGATTTGAGTTGTGCATTCAGTTAGAATTATTTTTGTCGTATATTCCTTGTATGTACATATAAGTAAAAAATGATTGCGTATCAGAAGAAGGAAGGCAATAGATAACTGTCTGCAGTTTCAAATATATATATTCAGAATATAGTATTTAAAAATCCAAAAATTATCTTAAAATTTGTTATTGTTTTGGTCAAACAAATTAATTTGAGCAAAGATATATGTTTGTTAATCTTTGCTCCAACTTCTTTTTTTATAATTTGTAATATCACATCAAAACCTCCACTATAGTAAATATATTCTATGTTTTTTCGATATCTGTCCGTGTTTATTTCACAATTTCCCCCAGTATCACGTGCCCTTGTTTGTTTGCTCAAGGAATTAAATCCAGACCCAATGGCTGGTGGGAATTCTCCCGGCAATCCGGACCCATCGCTATCATCATTGTTGGCACCTGAGTTGTTGTTCGACATCGGTTTTTGCTGCTGATGTTTGGTTTTTATTGTTGGTGTAAGTGCAACTGTTATCGGCAACCACAATGGGGGCACAAATCGCAGGATTGCCTGGGTGGCAAGGGTTCTCAGAAAGGAAAAAATAGAGCAGCATGCGCTTTTGTTGTGCGTTCAAAATTCTCTTATTAACAAATAGCTGCTGGGAAAATTAAAAAAAGATCTGCTAACTTTGTTTTCTTTTAGAAAAAAAAGGACAGTATATATTTAACCCATATAGATCACATACCTGTATTATTATTGGGATTCATAAAATCTTTAAGTCTTCATATAAATGAAACCTCTTTTTAGTTTTGAACACTATATTTATCACGTCTCGAATTATAAATTGCCAAAATACATTTTTATATATCCAAAATTGATTTTGATTTTATCGTAAGTGTAGTAATTACTTATATGTCGGCAATTTAATAACATGTTTTGATATTAACATTAAACAATTTTTCCTATCTGCCAGTTATATGTACTTGTAACATACACGACATTTACTATTTGAATGAATTGAAATGAATGAATTATTATTAAAACTTATTTTGGCTTAAGCACATTTTTTCAATTTCAAATTTAATTTTCAATGGATCACATTTTAGTTGTGATGTGGGTTAATCTAAGTTGGAAAAGGTGACGAAGCCACAGTCTGCCCTCGACCACATTTTGTCTGCTCTCCACAACTTTCACCCCACATTGTATATATTTGTGACTTTGTAAACCAGGGCTTCTGCGTGTGTGCTTGTTTGTCTCCTGTGCTCTGCGGTATTTATTAAAAATTTATGCATTTTATGAGACCCTTGAGACAAGGGTCTCAAATGCATTTCCCACACAGATTTTCATGATGGACATTCGTTAAGTCCCTTGACGGTGTGACGACAGGTCGTAAAAATCAGAACTTTGGCTTAGGAAGCTTATAAGGCTAAGAAGTTCGATCATAAAATACAGCACAAGCAGTGAATACAAAGCATGTATTTTCGTTATTGGTTTTTAATAAGAAAGCACACTTTTGCTTTAATAGGGTGAGTATATACTAAAGGGATTGGATTAAATAATTGTACACAAAAATAAAAAAAGGTAAAAAAATTTTTTAAGTTAAACCGTTTTATGTAAAACATGTAATAAATGTACTAAAAGCCTAAAAATAATATAAAATAGATACAGACGTGGGAATTATAAACATATGCTTAGACTAGACTAAAATAAAACCGTGGGGCAAACAAACATTTTAATCAACGATTGTACACAATTGACTTGCCCCACGGTTTTATTTTAGTCTAGTCTAAGCATATGTTTATAATTCCCACGTCTGTATCTATTTTATATTATTTTTAGGCTTTTAGTACATTTATTACATGTTTTACATAAAACGGTTTAACTTAAAAAATTTTTTTTACCTTTTTTTTATTTTCTAGTTTTTAGTTTTTATTTCGCATTTTTATATATATTTTTTTTACCATCTTGTTCCCACGAGTAATAGTCATTTAAAGAGTCGACGCCCCCGGAGGTCCAATAATTAGTACATTTATCTTAAACATTGCAATGTATGTTTAACATAAAACCTTTTAAATTAAAAAGTTTTTTTTTTAACAAATTTGATTAAGTTTTTATTAGTTTTTAGTTCTTCATTATTGCATGGTTTGTTGCCCGTTAGTTTGTTGCAGTCCAACTCCTCTATACGTAGTCCCTACAAAGATCTTACTCTACTAAGAGCCACGTAAGCTTGACCTTCTTCAAACAGTTTCGCACCTAAGTATACGACTGCGTGATCCACAGTGCTGCCCTGCATTTTATGTATTGTAGAAGCTCATGATAGTATTAAAGGCAACATTCTTCTGTCAGCCGTCCCATAATTGTACTTAGTTGGAAACTGTATGGCTTTCGGGTGTATAAGATGTACTCCGTCTTTTTCGAAATCAATTCGGACGGAAGGTACATCTGTTGCATATGTACATCTGAGCCCGACGAAATTGAGGCCAAACGATTTCGTTGATGTAGCCTATAGCGCCATTTACTAATCCCTTCGAAACGTCAAAATTGGACCGTAGCATGACTTTTGCCCCCACAAATATTTCCAGTTCTGCTGATAAACCTCCAGTTTTGTTTCTATCAACTTCACTTTCTTTAGCTCGTTTTGCTTTATAAAATAATAAATATTATTTTAACATATTGTGAATCTAAACCAGGGGTGCTCAAATTCGTCTTATGGCAGTGCGTTTACTAACACACCCACAAGAAAACGTGTACATATGTAGCGGCGCGTTTGTGTTGGGGCGCAGCTGTGCACTGAGAGAAAAAAAAAGTTTTAAATATTTATTTTTGGTTTTTTTATTTATTACGCATTGTATTTCGCATTTAAAGTTTATGCTAAAAAAAACTGCTCTCTATTTCATCACTCATTTTGATCCGCCAAAAAATTTAACATAACACTTACGATGGTCCACCACGAAATAAATCAAAAGCCAACGCAGACAGAAAAATAAGTTTCAGTGCATGTACTCGAGGAAAAAACAAAAACAAAATACATTGCGTTCAGCGAAGCGTGACGACGGATAGAGATGTAATGAAGAAACAAGCAAAATTGTTTTTGTTTCGCATGCAAATCGCCCATATGCACGGTGCTTATGCGCGCACTACCCATAAGCACAGAGCATCTACAAAAACAAAAGTGCACTCAGTGTATAGGCGTTGAGCACCGCTGATCTAAACCATCCTCAAACCTCCTGGAATACACACAAAAAATTTCATCAAAATCGGTCCAGGCGTTGTTGAGTTATGCGCTTACCAACACATTCTGCGATTCATTTTTATATATAAGATATAGCTTACCCCGTTTGTTGTCAGACTGATCTAAATTAATCTGATGTGTTTGACAGTGACAATGATACCCATGTTGATGGGATTGACAAAACCTAAGTTATCCGCCATTTTGCAGAGGCCGCCATCTTGAATTTTAATTTTATATAGTACATTGTATTCTACTTGTTGAGACCTTTCATTTGATACCCATATTGATGGGATTAATAAAACCTACGTTATCCGCCACTTTGCGGCCGTCATCTTGGATTTACAATGTTATTGACATTACTATATTGTATTGTCATCGGAACTGAAGGTGTGTACCACATTTCAGATCAAT